GAGAAGGTAGGATTTTGAGTCTAAACACACAAGAAGGAAAAGGAGAAATCTAGGTTTCTAACTTGAACATCTCTGTGTGTAAGAATGTAAGAACTTCCATGTGAGACCCGTGAAGTTTGCAGTATATGTACAGCAGCCAATTGCAGATCTCTTGAAGGCTTCTACGGAACTTGGGAGAGATTTGAAAACTCCAATTTACAAGGTAGTTTTGATGAAAACGTATGGACCCAAGTGTTTTTAGAAAAACCACTGTGTTTACAAGATTTGGTGAAAACTACCCTGCCTGGTTTGGCTCAGCGGTTAGAGCATCACCCCGCAGACGAAAGGGTTCCGGGTTCAAATTTGGCCAAGGGCAGCATTCCTGTGCTGCAGGTTTCTCAGGCTCCGACAGGGCTGCACAGGAGGCAGCCAAGCCAGGTGTCTCTCAATATCACTCTTTCTCTCTACCTCCCTTCCTTCCACTCTTTAAAAAAAAAAAAATCAATGGAAAAAAATTGTAAAAGAAAAGATTTAGTGAAAACTAGTGATTGCCAAATTATTATGAAGAAAACTGGAGATCTGAGTTAACTGTGGTGATTTGGAAGTCATTAGCATAAACCTGCTGGTTGAATCCATGGGAACAGAGGAGCATAAAGAATGAAAAAGACAACAGGTAGAGGTCAGTAAAGGGTGCCGGGTTTTCTAGAGTGACCTGAGGAAGAGCCTGGGAGGTGTATTGCTACGAAACAGCCCGGTCCCTGCCCACAGCAGTCTTCGCTCTGCCGTTCTCCAGCCTTGTACCTGCCTCCTGGAGGGACCTTCCGAAAACAGAAATCAAGTCATGTGACTTGCCAGCTCAGAAATCTTAGTTGGCTCTACATTTGTCCACATAATCCAAATCTCATAAATTTTCTTGGATCCCACCCCTCAAAGATTGAATAGAAGTTTTTTTTGTTTTTTGTTTTTTTTTATCCTCACCCGAGGATATTTTTCCATTTTTTGTACAGATAGAGTGGGAGGGAGAGAGAGAGAAACATCGATGTGAAGGGACACATCGAGTGGCTGCCACCCGCATGACCAACCAGGGCCGGGGACAAACTGCAACCGAAGTACGTGCCCTTAGTGGGAACCGAACCCGGGTCACTCCAGACCGCAGGCCGATGCTCTAACCGCTGAGCCAAACTGGCCAGGGCTGAATAGAAGTTTTAACCTACTTTTCCTCATCCTCCAAATAGACTGCTGATGGTACTGCCCTGCAGACACATCCCTCAAACCTCTGCTCACCCTGTTTTCTCAAACTGTAGTTTTTGGTGCTTCTCCAACTCTCAGAATTTCAATTTATCCCTTAACATTTAACTAAATGCTCCCTCTTGTGAATCCTTCTCAAAAGCCTCCGGTTACAATTTAAGCCTTCAGTTATTTTTCTCCATACATTTCCTGTTCACCCTTATGGTGACATTTACCTCCCTCTGCCTCCTTACGTTGTATCCAGGCCTGTGTGCACCCTGCCTCTCCTCCCCCCATTAGAGTATAAGTTCCTTGAGCTGACTGGGCTTCATATCCCTGGGTGTCTAGCATGGCACCTCACTGGTAGAGTGATGTTCCCCTCTAATTAAACAAGTATATGTTGTTTAATTGGAACAGTTAGTATCCAGATCTACAAATCATGAATCACAATGAAGGCCTTCACTTTTTAGTATATTTATAGAAACTGCACCTTAACACAGAGGAATGTTTTGTCTTTAAGGAAAAGCATTATAATTGGAAGATTTAGCATCAAATACAACTCGTATAATAATAAAGTCTAAAATCAAAGAAGTAACATCAACTTATATGACTATTTAAAAATCGTAAAATTGTGCTCCTGGAAACAGAATTTTAGCAATAGAGGAAGCCTGAAGAACTGTCTCGTCCAGTTGTAAACCCCTCTGGAGGGCCCTGTTCCTCAGGGCGCGAGGAGTGGCTGGGGAGACAAGCTTTGCCAGGCCACCAAACCTTGCTTCACCCAGAGTACCTCTGCCTTCATGTGTTTATATATGAGGCTTTCAAACAAAACTGTACTAAAAAAGTGGTTTTGCTGTTAAATCATTTTGAAAAACAGGATTATAACCTTCAGGCTACTTCTATAACCTTGGTGACTCTGAGCCTCCATTTCCTCATCTGTAAAATTCACGAATGGTGCTATGATCATTCATGCTTTCATTCTGAGCCCCTGCTGTCCATTTTCAAGGAAAAAACAGACCCCCAAGAGAAGGGACTACCTCCGGCCACATAGCATTAATGACAGAATCAGGACTAGAATTTAACCAACCCTGATTGTTGTTTCTCACTCTCACTCTCTCCTTTTAAAAAATTCCTACAAAGAGGATGTAAACAAATTATGGATATGAATTATATGAAAAAGTAGATATCTGGATTATATAAACATGTAAAAATAGAGCTATACTGTATCAATTTTGCCTTAAAGCTGGTGTGCTAGTTACAACAAACATAGTTGAACATTTACCTGAGTTTACATTCATTCTTCAAGTTTATAAGAAATATTTGGGCGAGTTTTTTGCATGGCCCATTTCTCTTTTATAAAGCTAGTAGTTGTTTTCTCCTTGGCTAATCTCCATGTAATCGGTAGAAGCACTTAAAATCATTCCAATAATTGTTCTGTTCATGTTTAAGTCCCTCTGCATATAAATTACAAAGCATCTGTTAGAAGTTGTGAGGTTTGGGGAAGCAGGAGTCCCTAGATTCTGGTCCTTTTATTCATCTCTTTTGCTTTGCTCATCTTCCTCTCTTCATCCCCTCCTCTCCAAATCAAGGGCATCCATGAAGAGGAAACGAAGTCACAAAACAACTGTCTGAGAAGTGTGTGTGGACAGGAGGGAAAGAAGGGCAGTCATGCTCCTTGGCCTGCTTGATGGTGGGGGGTGCTTATATGCTGATGGTATTTTAGTCTTGGGGCTTTTTTGATAAATTAAAACAAAACAGCTCACAGAGACACCTCCTTCTTCCCCTTCCTTCTGCCTCCATGAGTAACTACCCAAATGGCGTGCTGCTGCTGAAACCAAGGAATGAGTGAGTAAAGGTGTTTAGAAGTGAAGTATTGGTCCTAATTAAATAAGTGTCCTTTTAAAAATAAGTGTTAAAACTTTGTAATGTGGATACCCTATGAATTTGGGTTTCATAGGATTTGAACACAAATTAAGCCACCTTTGCACATGCACCTTTGCACCATGCACCCGTGTACATGCACCCGTGCACCATGCACCTGTGCACCATGCACCTTTGGATGGGCCGGTCAAAGCAATGCAGTAATACAGCAAGAAAGATGGCAGGGACAGTGTTTGACCTATATGAGACAACCTTTCTGAGGACATCACAGCATCCATCTCACATGAACAGACTATTAAAAACAGGTTTGGTAAGACTTGGACATGATAATATGTTATTTGTCAAGGTCACAACAAGTAGTTAAAGGTAACATTGTCTTAGTGACATATAATTCAGTTTGACTTCTGTCTCCTCACCTCTGGAGTAGTTCAAATTCTAATTAGAGCCATTATGTTAAGTTTTTTTTAATACAGTAGTTTTATAAAAGTTTATGTATAAAAGATGCTTGTTTTGCCATGGGCAAAGAGATAGAAGTAAAACTTAGACCATGTAAAGAATAAAACATCTTACCTTTAATTTGATGGCTGTTTGGAATTAGTCTGGAAAAAAACTGAAGAAATAGTTATAATTGATGCTTTTTGAACTAAGTTTTGATTGTTTTCTTAGCTTTTTGCTCTAGTGTATTGAAGGCAGAGAACTATTCTGCAATCTAAATTTCTCCTTGAATTTTTCATATTTTTGTACTTTTTTTTCCCCCAAACGCATTTTAACTGAATCAGGTCATTTTCACTGGTAGAAAAAATATCAAGGTGTTTGTTATTGGTTCTTTTGTTGTTCTCTAAAACTGGTCACTAACTAAGTCTTCTAGTTCTTTAATTCTTGTTTTTATTATATGCTTGATTTTATGCTGTACAGCTAACAATAATATGACATAAGGTAAAAAAAAAAAAAAAAAGCACAATGTATTTTTGAAATCTTTTGATTAGAAAACTAATACTTGTTCAAAGATATTCAGTATCCAATCTTGCTGAAGAATGATCTTAACAGAAATTGTATTGTGAAGGAGGAAATCTAAAAAGGCAAAACACACTTCAGTAGAGATAAGACTGGGAAAGCAGTAGTCACACAAACAAGTTAAGGAGGAAAGAGAAGGTTGTATTCCTTTTCTTTCCTTTTGTGTTTTCTGAGTTTTTTATTTTAATAAGTAGATATGGTATATTTCTCTCATTTGTATATAATTTAATTTGTATATAATTCAAACATGGTAACAGTCTATATTTTTATGTGAATTTTAAATGGATCCTTTTCATAACATGTAATTTTCTATAGAAAACATTTGCAGTCTATTTTATGACAACATTGGGTTGATTTATTAAAAACTATCTTATACAAAACAGCATTTTCCCACAGAATTCTTGTGTTTGGAATTAATGCTCATATTCTAGAGCAACCATCTAACCCTCAGAGTAGAATTTGGTACCACTGAAAGCATCTATTTATTTGTTTTTGTCATGGAGGTGTCATTAGTAAAACAGATACTCTGAACAAATTTGGTAGAAGATTCAAGCAACTCTCAGATTCAATAGTTTACACATAGTTCAGTAAGTATACTGTGAAAACACAGTACACTGAAAGGATTGCCAAGTCAAGATGCAGTGCTGAAAGGTAAATTTAGGACTGAGGAAATCTACCATAGAGTATTGCTAGATTAATTTAGGCTGATTCCGAGGACTCTGTTTGCCACACACCTGAAAACTGGCTTTCTTTACAGAGAAAGCCACTGGTTTGGTTATGTTCAGAAACGAGCATGCTCTCTCCTCATTCAGCAAGGTGGTGGGCTTTCAGCATGTGAATATTACCTGCATAGTCTTCTCTGATTTTTTACTTACTGTTTGTTTATTTGTTCTTCTTTCCAGCAGTCAGTCAACAAGTACAAGTGTCCAGATGTCAGATGGGGCTCGGGGTCTGTAGCACAGTAAGCAACTTTTCTTCCTAAGTAATTTGCAGTGAGAAGTAGTTTGTTTGAAGGACAATTTCTTATTTTCCTTTTCAAAATGTCACTCTCTGAGTTAAATTTCAGACCATTGATTTTTAAAAGAGTTTAGCTAGTTTGAGGATAATATTTTAATGTTTGGACATTGAGGAAATGTATGAAAAGTTATAAGAAATTAGAGTATCACACTAAATTTTTCTTTTTGTGGATTCATTTTGTCATATACTTTTGTTTGAGTCATTTTTAAAATGAAATAACCGAAAACAAGTAGATTATGTGGTTAAAAAAAAATATATGAACTGCCTATTTTCAGGCATTAAAGAAAAAAAGTGAATCCCAGAACACTAGCATTTTATATTTCCTACAAATGCCTAATGTATTTGAGCAATTTATTTTGAGGTATTTATTTTAAAAGATCTCTAGGAAGTTTTGTATTTTTCTTTGTGCTTGCTGCATCACTTAAGACGTAAATAGAAAATCCCTCTTTTACTTCAAAAAAGTTACATCAAAACATTCCCAAAATATTTCTCAATTTTTATCATTGCAGATCATTTTGTACCTAATTTTAAGCCTCAACTTTACACTCACACATCACTAGCGATCTATCACATGCCTTGAACATCACCCCCGAAAACAAGACTGCATGTTTCCACACGTGCACACAGATCATCCCTGTTGAATGTTCTTCGGGGAACTATTTGTTCAAGTTAACCCTGTTACACGCTTTGACATTTTGAAAAATAATGTCTTCCGGTTCAAAAATTCTGATTCAGATTACAGTCTGATTTACAGAAATTATCAAATGAAAGCATGCATTATTTCACAAGATAACATTTCATTCTACAGATAACAGATAAGCATACTTTTAAATGGTATTTAAAAGAGTCACAGATCATGACCTAGAAGATGCCTTAGAAAGTCTTTCTGTATCCCTTGTTATATAGTCTTGAAAACTAATGGAAAAGGCCTTGTGCAGATTGCACAGGGCACACTATGTCAGCTCTTGGACCAAGACCAGTGTCTCCTGATTCCCAGATGTACGTGTGTGTGTGTGTGTGTGTGTGTGTGTGTGTGTGTGTGTGTGTGTGAAATTGTATTCAGTGTTGTCAGGCCCCTTGGTAAGATACCATTTTGCTGTAAGTTACAAATCTTTGTTTTTGACAAAGAAAATCTATTAACTCTGTATAGCTCTGAATTGTTTCAGAGCATAGTCACTGCTGTCACCACATTTGATTCTCATCATTTCCCTGGCAGAGATGCAGACCAGTATTCTGAACCCTCTTTTCCTTGAGGAGAAATAAGATCTGAGAGGCTGTGACTTGTTTCATGTCATTGCAGGTAGTGAGTGGCAGACCCAGTACCCGATCACAGGTCTTCTCTTTGCTCGTGTACAGCTCTTTCATGCCTTCCCTCTCATCTGTCAGAAGGTGCAAACTCACATCTCAGGTCTTTCCTTTTTGGGTTTGGTTTCATCTGCCAGGTATACTTTCAGTTCCAGTCTCTGAATAATTGAAATTTTATGTAATAGTTGATAACACAGTCACTGACCCTGAGGAGATTGTGCTGAACAAGAGATTACACATATAACAAAATAGACTGGAGCCTGTTGGTTGGGCATCATTCCATGCATCAAAGGGTTGCCGGTTCCATTCCCGGTTCAATTCCAGGTCAGGGCACATGCCCAGGTTGTGGGCTAAATCCCCAGTAGAGGGTGTGCAGGTGCACCCAATGTTTTGCTCTCACATTGATGTTTCTCTCTCTCTCCCTCTCCCTTCCTCTCTCTCTCAAATAAATTTAAAATCTTTAAAAACAATAATAATAGCACTGGAACCAATAAGGACAAGCTCTATTTCAACAACTAAAAAATGACCACATTAAATCCATTATGGGAATAATGCTCTCGGTGACCTTGAACACATTTTTAAAACATTTTACCTAATATGTGAATGAAAGACTCTAGAGCAGTGGTTCTCAACCTTCCTAATGCCGTGACCCTTTAATACAGTTCTTCATGTTGTGGTGACCCCAACCATAAAATTATTTTTGTTGCTACTTCATAACTGTAATTTTGCTACTGTTATGTCTTAGGCGACCCCTGTGAAAGGGTCATTTGACCCCCTAAGGGATCGCGACCCACAGGTTGAGAACCGCTGCTCTAGAGGCACTCTGACCACTTCCATACTGACTTGCAGGTGATACAGAGACACTTGCCAGAGATCCTTACTGGACTCTCCAGATTCAAGTTCTGAGAGCCTCACAAAACATCCCAGCTTCTCAAGGCTCGGAGAGCAGCTTGGTTTCTCCTCTGGAACATAGTGTCTGAGGAGCTTCTGAATATGAATTTTCCTTTTTTTTTTTTTGTTACAAATGTTTCTCCTTTTTCCTCCATTGCCATCCTCCTCCCTCTCCCTCCTCTCCCTGTCCCCAGCTTTGTTGTCCATGTTCATTGGTCATGCATACATGCGTACATGCTTATAAGTTCTGTGGTTTACCTCTCCCCTCTTACCCCCTCTTGTGGGGATTCTCAGTCTGTCCCCTACTTCCATGTCTCTCGGACTATCCTGTTCCTCAGACTGTATGTTCATTATATTCCACAAATAACTGAGATCATATGATACTTGTCTTTCTCTGCTTGGTTTATTTCACTTAGGATAATACTTTCCAGGTCCTTCCATGTCATCTCAAAGGATAAGAGATCTTTCTTTCTTACAGCTGCATAGTACTCCATTGTGTATATGTACCACAGCTTTTTTATCAGTTCGTCTACTGATGGACATTTGGTCTGTTTCCAGATCTTAGCTATTGTAAATAGTGCTGCTGCGAACATGGGGATACATATATTCTTTCTGATTGGTGTTTCAGGCTTCTTAGGGTATATTCCTAGAAGTGGGATCACTGGGTCAAATGGAAGTTCAATTTTTAATTTTTTGAGGTAACACTGTAGTGTTTTCCATAGTGGCAGCACCAGTATGTATTCCCACCAGCAGTGTACTAGAGTCCCCTTTTCTCCACACCCTCACCAACACTTGTTGTTTGATGATTTGTTGATGGCGGCCATTCTGACAGGTGTGAGGTGATAACCTCATTGATGTTTTAATTTGCATCTCTCTGATGATTAGAGATGTTGAGTATTTCTTCATATGTCTCTTGGCCATTTGTATGTCCTGTTTGGAGAGGTGTCTATTTAGCCTTTCTGCCCATTTTTTAATTGGGTTCTTTGTCTTCCTTTTGTTGAGTTGTATGAGTACTCTCTATATTTTTGAAACTAACTCCTTCTCTGATATATCGTTGGCAATTATGCTCTCCCGTACAGTGGGTTGCCTTTCCATTTTGATGATTGTATCTTTTGCTGTGCAGAAGCGTTTTAGTTTGATGTACTCCCATGTGTTCATTTTTTCCTTTACTTCTGTTGCTTTAGGTGATGTATCAGTGAAAATTCTGCTGTGTATGATGTCTGCAATATTGTTGCCTACATTTTCTTCTAGGATTTTTATGGATTCACAAGTCACATTTAAGTGTTTTATTCATTTTGAGTTTATTCTTGTGTATGGTGTAAGTTGATGGTCTAGTTTCTTTTTTTTTGCATGTAGCTGTCCAATTTTCCCAACACCATTTATTAAAGAGGCTGTCTTTACTCCATTGTATGTTCTTGCCACTTTTGTCGAATATTAATTGAGCATAAAGTTTTGGGTCAATTTATGGGTTCTCTGTTTTATTCCATTGATCTATGTGCCTGTTCTTGTGCCAGTACCAGGCTGTTTTGATTACAGTCACTTTGTAGTATAACCTGATATCCAGTATTGTGATCCCACCTACTTTGTCCTTCTTTTTCAAGATTGCTGTGGCTATTCGGGATCTTTTTTGGTTCCATGTTAACTTTTGAAGTATTTGTTCTAGTTCTGTGAAATATGTCGTTGGTATTTTGTTTTTATTTGTTTTATTTTTTTATCCTCACCCAAGGACACTTTTCCATATTTTGTTCAGATAGAGTGGGAGGGAGAGAGAGAGAGAGAGAGAGAGAAACATTGACGTTAAAGGGATACATCGAGTGGTTGCCACCCGCACCACCCAACCAGGGCCATGGACAAACTGCAACCGAGATACATGCCCTTAGTGGGAACCGAACCTGGGTCTTTCTGGACCACGGGCCAGTGCTCTAATCGCTGAGCCAAATAGGCAAGGGCTATCATTGGTATATTGATGGAGATTGCATTGAATCTATAGATTGCTTTGGGTAGTATGGACATTTTAATGATGTTAATTCTTCCAATCCATGAACAAGGTATTTGCTTCCACTTTTTTATAGCTTCCTCTACTTCTTTTATTAAAGTCCTGTAGTTTTCTGAAAATAGGTCTTTTACTTCTTTGGTTATGTTTATTCCTAGGTATCTTAATTTCTTGCCATCATGGTCAATGGATTGTTTTTTTAGTTTCTCTTTCTGTGAGTTCATCATTGGTGTACAAGAATGTTGTTGATTTCTTGACTTTAATTTTGTATCCTGCTACTTTGCCAAATTCACTTGTTAAGTCTAGTAGATTTTTGATGGAGTCTTTACAGTTTTCTATGTATATGATCATGTCATCTGCAAATAATGACAGTTTCACTTCCTCCTTTCTAATTTGGATCCCTTTTATTTTTTCTTCATGTCTGACTGCTGTGGCTAAGACTTCCAATACTATGTTAAATAAGAATGGCGAAAGTGGGCATCCTTGTCTTGTTAAGGGAAATGCTTTTAGTTTTTGAACATTGAGTATGATGTTGGCTGTAGATCTTTCATACATGGCATTTATTATGTCGAGATATAATCCCTCTATTCCCAAATTGCTGAGTGTTTTTATCAGAAATGGTTGCTGGATTTTGTTGAATGCTTTTTCAGCATCTGTTGATATGAACTTATGATTTTTATATTTTTCTTTTTTTTTTTTTTTTTAATCCTCACCCGAGGGTATTTTTCCATTTTTTGTACAGATAGAATGGGAGG